CTCCCTCCTTCCCTCGGTGACTTCCAGGTGAATGAGATACTGTTACCCCACCTTGGGACACGCTCCAACTCCTGGAGCTCCTCATCTTGAACGTCTCCAGACACTCTTCCCAATTCCCACCATTTTGGGACATTTCCACCTTTCCCTCCAATCCTGAGCCGTGTAATGGGACTGGGAACGTTCCGGGTGCCAGTGGTAATTTGGGAATCTCCCTCCTTCCCTTAGTGACTGAGATCCTGTTTTTCCACCCTGGGACACGCTCCAACTCTTGGAGTTCCTCATCTTAAACATCTCCAGGTGCTCTTCCCAATTCCCACCATTTGGGGGCATTTCCCCCTTTCCCTCCAATCTCGAGCTGGGTAACAGAACCGGGAACAATATGTAGTGCCAGTGATAATTTGGGAATCTCCCTCCTTCCCTCAGTGACTTCCAGGTGACTGAGATCCTGTTTTCCCACCTTGGGTGATGCTCCAACTCATCTTGAACATCTCCAGACGCTCTTCCCCATTCCCACCATTTGGGGGGATTTCCACCTTTCCCTCCAATCCCGAGACACGTAATGAGACCAGGAGTGATTCCCACATTCCAACGCTAACCTGGGAATATCCTTCCATCCCTCAGCCTCCTCTGAACGCTCAGATGTTGGCGCAGCGGCAGCGGGAGCTCTACAGCCAACAGCACCGGCAGCGGCAGCTGATGCAGCAGCGCGCCCTCCTCCTGCGCCAGCAGAGCTTCGGCAACGCCTCCGGAATTCCGGTGCCCCTCGGAGCCACCCGGTTGCCACAGGCCCCCCCCCAGCAGTTCCCGTATCCGGTGCCCAGCTACGGCGCTGGCGCCGGCAACCCGCCCTCCGCCGGCGCCGCTGGACCGTTCTCCGGTGCTGAGGCGGCGGCGGCGCTGGCCGGACGCCGCGGGAGTGCCGTGGGAGCGCAGTTCGGAGCCGGGATGGTGGCGCCCGGGATGCAGCAGAACGTCTTTCAGTATTCCGGAGCAGGTGGGTGGAGCTGGGATGATGTTGGGATGGGAGGGGATGTTCCCCGGGGATGTGGAGACCGGAGGCATCGGAGCGTCGCTCCGGATTCATCCCGAGCTGGTTGGCACAGCTTGGGTCGCCACAGTCCATAGAGTTGGGAGATCCCAACTCCCAACAGCCCAAGGAGTTGGGATCTCCCAAAATCCCAACAAGCCCAAGGAGTTGCGAGCTCCCAACAGTCCAAAGAGTTGGGAGTTCCCAACAACCCAAGGAGTTGGGAGTTCCCAGGAGACCAAGGAGTTGGGATCTCCCAACTCCCAACAGCCCAAGGAGTTGGGATCTCCCAGGAGACCAAGGAGTTGGGATCTCCCAACAACCCAAGAAGCTGGGATCTCCCAAAATCCCAGCAAACCCAAGGAGTTGGAATCTCCCAACTCCCAACATCCCAAGGAGTTGGGATCTTCCAGGAGACCAAGGAGTTGGGATCTCTCGACTCCCAACAGCCCAAGGAATTTGGGGTCTCCCAAAATCCCAACAAGTCCAAGGAGTTGGGATCTTCCAGCAGACCAAGGAGTTGGGATCTCAACTCCCAACAGCCCAAGGAGCTGGGATCTCCCAAAATCCCAACAAGCCCAAGGAGTTGGGATCTCCCAGCAGCCCAAGGAGTTGGGATCTCCCAACTCCGATCTCCCAACATCCCAAAGGCCCAAGGAGTTGTGATCTCCCAAAATCCCAACAAGCTCAAGGAGTTAGGCTCTCCCAAAATCCCAACAAGCCCAAGGAGTTTGGATCTCCCAACAGCCCAACAGCCCAAGGAGTTGAGATCTCCCAACATTCCAAAAGCCCACGGAGCTGGGATCTACCTGCTCCAAACAGCCCAAGGAGTTTGGGGGTTGAGTCTCCAAAAAAACATGAGGGGACTTCAGGAAAACAATTCCACGAATTTTTTCTTGAGAATTGAACTTGGAGGCTGTTCGTTCCTCCTCTTCCCTGGAGGAAGGTTTCCCATCCTTGGAAGTGTCCAAGGCTGAGTTGGATTCCCTTGGAGCATCCTGGGATAGTGGGAGGTGTCCCTGAACATGGAATGGGATGATCCTTAAGGTCCCTTCCCATCCAACCCATTCCAGGATTCTTTGATAAAGGATCCATTCAGAGGGATTTTTATGGAATGTGGGGATGGAAAAGGCGGGAAAGGGGAAGGGAGACCTTCCCCTAAGTGCCGAGATTCCCAGGGAGCCCCCTTGTTCCCGGAACTCCTTCCCAGGGAGGAGTTGGGCTGGGGATGGATCCAATGGCAGGGGATGGATCCAGGTTGGGAGAGCTGGGAATGGCCAGGCTGGAGAAGGGAAGGATCCCGGGAGAGCTTGGAGAACATTCCAGAGCCTGAAGGGGCTCCAGGAGAGCAGGAGAGGGATTTGGGATCAGGGCCTGGAATGACAGGACCCAGGGAATGGATCCCAGTGGGAAAGGGGAGATTTGGGGGGGAGATTGGGAAGGGATTCCTGGCTGGGAGGGTGTTGAGGGGCTGGTCTGGAATTCCCAGAGAAGCTGTGGCTGCCCCTGGATCCCTGGGAGTGTCCAAGGCCGGGTTGGAGCCCCGTGGGACAGCGGGAGGTGTCGGAGTTGGACCAAGACAACCTTTGAGGTCACGAAGACCCCCCAGAGCCACCAAACCCGCGTGTGCCAAATCCTGGGAATCGGGGGCTGTTGGCAAGCGGGAATTGGGCTCCGTTGGGAAGCGGGAGCTGTGGGAGTAGGGAATTAGGCTCCCTCCTGAGCCCTGGTTGTGCCCGCAGGGCTGGCCCAGCAGAGCGAGTCCTTCGCGCCGGCGCTGAGCCCCGGCAGCCCCCTGGTGTCCCCCCAAATCCCGCCGGCCCAGAGCCCGATGCTGCCGCCGGCGCCGCCGGCACCCGGATACCAGTCCCCCGACGTGAAGGGCTGGCAGCAAGGAGCCATGGGGAATAACAGGTAAAGAGATTCCAGCTGGCAAATTCCACCCGGGAATCGCCTGGAGCATGGGGGAAAGGGGTGGGCGTGGCCTTCTCCCGCTGTGACGTCACCACCTGTATCCGTGTCCTCGTCCCCGCCTTCTCAGGAATGTCCCACAAGGTTCAAGGAAGACTTTGCCTCTTAATTAAGCCAAGTGGCTTAATTAGCTCTCCTAAAAACCACCTTAGGGAATGTGGCAGCAGAGTCCAGCCCAGAATTCCCAGGATGCTCTTTAGGACATTCCCGGCTCCAACTCGTGGAAGCGACTGGGAAGAAGAGCCGAGAGATCTGTTGGAGGGTGGGGGTTTTTTTGGCAATGAGTCAAAGTTTGGGGTTCAGATCTGCAGAAATGAGGGGAAAATTCCCAAAGTTCAGTTTCGGAATGGGAATGGTTGGTTTGGGGTCTTGGAACCCCTTCCAGAGGCTAAAGGGGCTCCAGGAGAGGTGGAGAGGGACTGGGGACAAGGGCTGGAGGGACAGGACACAGGGAATGGATCCCAGTGGGAAAGGGGAGATTTGGGTGGGATTTGGGAAGGGATTCCTGGCTGGGAGGGTGGGGAGGGGCTGGACTGGAATTCCCAGAGAAGTTGTGGCTGCCCCTGGATCCCTGGGAGCGTTCAAGGCCAGGCTGGAGCAGCCTGGGATAGTGGAAGGTGACCCAGAACATGGAATGGGATGATCCTTAAAATCCCTTCCCATCCAAATCATTCCAGGATTCCACGATAAAGGATCCATTCAGAGGGGTTTTTATGGAATGTGGGGATGGAGAAGGCAGGAAAGGGGAAGGGAGACCCTGCCCTGCGTGCTGAGATTCCCAGGGAACCCCCTTGTTCCCTGAACTCCTTCCCAGGGAGGAGTTGGGCTGGGGATGGATCCAATGGCAGGGGATGGATCCAGGCTGGGAGAGCTGGGAATGGCCAGGCTGGAGAAGGGAAGGATCCCGGGAGAGCTTGGAGAACATTCCAGAGCCATGAAGTGGCTCCAGGAGAGCGGGAGAGGGACTGGCGATCAGGGCCTGGAATGACAGGAGCCAGGGAATGGATCCCAGTGGGA